CCATCTAATGTCTTTAGGTGGCTTGGGGACAGGGCTGGTATCACCATCTAATGCCTTTAGATAGCCATTACTCCAGTCTAACTAATAAAGGGACCGTAATCTCTTGTTGTTTATTAGAGTGTGTACCTCACCTGGCCAGAATTAAGCTATAATAACCACATTGGTGTTGCTCTGTAACACGGCGTAAACATTATCAGTGCTGGGAAAATGACAGCCACCTCTAACTGCAAGACCCCCACCCTGCACCTCTTTCGCAGCTAACTCAGTGATTCCCTGCAGCAGCCCCCAGCGTTTGATTTAGAATGGTAGGTGGGGTCTGACAGGTACAGTACGGAAGAAGATATGCTGTACATATGTCTTTAGCAGGACATGCTTCAGCATTGCTTGGAAATACAATGCGGCCGGGGAATTCTTTCAGTATTTACACAGTCAGAGGGACGCTGACCAAACGTGTCCGAGTGCGAGTCTCCTCAGCTCCATAGTTAAATAAGCAAGGAGTTCACGGTTTGGGTAAACGCTACAGAAAACAAAAGCTGGGCTCCAGCTCTCTGGCTAAGGAGGAACACATGTTGAAGGAATATGATGACTACGGTTTCCTGGAAAAGGCTCGGCAACCAAGCCAAGTATGTTAATTACATCAAGCGTTTCACGGGGGGGTGCTGGAGTCGGCCCTGCACGGTGACTTTGCCGAACTCTCCATCCTCGAGTCTCCTGTGCGCAACCTGAGCTGGTGCTCCTCTAAATGCAACGACATCCAACATATGTCTCCAGAACCTGGTCTTCTCTAGAATTACAAAGCTCTAAATGCATCTGCACCCAACATGTGTCTTCCAATCCAAGCCTTCTCTAGAATTACAAACCTCTAAACAAATTGAACCTATGCTTTCAAAACTTGGACACGCACTCATCAAGTAAGCAAATCCTTTTGGTTAGTTTCTATGTACTCTTCCTGGATCTGTCGCTGTCTGAATACCATAGGGTGACTGCGAGAGTCACCTGCTCGATGCTGATTTGCCGAGACTGGACCCAAACGGCTTTGGGTTCCCGCCAAGCCCCACAGCTGCTTTTGAATCTCGCCTGAATTGAGGAGGTGACGGCTAAGCGACGCGCATGCAAATACATCCACAGAAGAGGAACGTTCTAGAGAGGAACCTGAGGAGCCAGTAGACGAACAAAAAATAATACTATAGCCATCACTGCTTAACGCACAGCCAGAAGACGACCCAAGAGTGGTCCGACACAGCCCAGCTCCCCCTACAAAAACCTCACATGGGGTTACCTGGTTTCCTAATGTGTCTGGGCATGAGCTGGAGGGTCTTGTGGCAGCAGCGGGATCCCGTCCAGAGCTGACTCCCATCCACACAGGAAGAGCTTATCAGACTTGTGTTGTTGCTTCCATGAACTCCCCTAGGGTTGTACCTTTCCACGTACACTGCTTATGAACGTGGTGGGTGGGGGGATGGGCTTGCGCTGGCTAAACTGATGTTTTTTGTGCCCCCCCCCTTCTCTATACAGAAAAGGCCCCCCCAGTTCTCACCATTGACACCCCACCCCAACACAGGTAACCCTTTCAGTCTTATGAAATACCAGTCATTCCACCCCATCCCAGAATGATGTTTTTATGGTCAATGAGAGACAGCACCCCCCCCCCCCAGGGTGCTAATTATCTTCAGCAGCCATTCAGTGTGGGACAGGAGCTGGGGTGGGGGTGGTGGGTTGTCGGATCGAGGAAATGCTTTTCTTTTGTTGAAACATTTAGCATTAAGCTAATGAGGTTGATGTGGATGTGAGGGCCTGGGGGGAGGGGTGGGGGGGTTAGTCTGCAGACAAACAATTTGCTGGGGGGTCAGTGCTGGAAGATGGCGAGGTGTTATTCTTCCTGAAGCTGGAGCCTTCTCCAGTTGTCCAATGGAACGGCTGCTTTTCTCCACCCTGGGTCACGGTGTGTGATGGGCTCTCCTCTCCACTGCTGGCCGGCCTTTCTGGGGCAGATGAAAAGCAGACTGAGGACCCCAGGGCCTTTCGGGGTGGGACTGTGGGGGATTGAACATTCTTCAGGCAGATGGAGCAGAAAGGCAGACTGCGAGGGGCATGGGGAGGGGGGGCAGGCTGGCTGTCCGCCTCACACGGGGGGGGGGGGGGGGGGGGGGGGGGGGGGGGGGGGGGCGGGACGTGTGGGTTTAGGGGGCATAAAGGAGACAGTCACAGTGCATCTGCACGCAAACACGCTCACAGTTTATATCCACTGCTCAGAACGAGGGGATTAGACTCAGCCTCATGAGCATGATTGTTATTGTCAGATGATAAGAATGTGGCACACATTGAATTTTTCACCTGCTAGACAGGCCAGCCAACAGGAAGTGACCTCCGACTTCACTTCTTGTGCGAATACTTTCATACCGTTGCTTTATTTGATCCTCCCTCAGAAGCAGCCTGGCGTGCCGTGCCCTCCCGGAAGACGATACAGCCCGCTAGCATCTGCGCACACAAAGTGGACGCTTGTATTGAGGCGGCTCCGTCGCCGAGGGGCTGTTTTTCAATTTCTGGTCCCTACATTCACATAAAGGCCTGGGTTATGCAACCCGGTGAAGTAGCGGGCAAACTGCAGAGTCCGGCCCAGAATCAGCAGAGCTTTGGAAATCATGGCTTACAGTCGAAATGTTTTGCGTCATCGGGTCAGCACAAAGTGAGTGTTTCTTCATGTGTAATGTACTAGTGTGATCATGATCCAAGTGTGATAAGGGGAGCATATTTGTGTCAAAATTCTCTCCACCTCCAGGATTGTGGTGTGATGCTCCACCCTTGATAAAAAAACATGTTCCACTGCACATATCCACTGAAACAAGACTCAGTCGCAGGAGGAAAAGCAAGGTTAGTTACACATGCCAAACCCCACGACGGTGTTGACTTAGCCCCTTCGTGAAAGTCATACTTCACGTTTCGGTTTACATTTGATTTGGCTCCAGCACCTTCGCTACGGCTGCACACAGATGTAACACAAACCCTACACGCCTCTTATGTCTGCGCAAGACCTCGTTGTTGCTCAAAGGATCCTGACAATGCCATTTTCACCTATCATGTGCGATTGACCATGCAGACAGAATGCCTTTCTGATTCCAAGCTTGCATTATTGAGGTCCTGTAAAAGAAACAAAAAAAGAGCAAAAAACAAAAAGTAGCTGTTGGGCACCATTTAGGACATTGCTCTCTCGGTTTCTCAACATATTATTCACGTTGAGCTCTGTGAAGATCGTGCTGCCCTCTGTAACTTATCCAAAGTAACAGACTAACTAGGCCCACCTGTTTGAATACTTTAAACAATCAGGCCTGATTGTCAGGGTGGTCATGCCTTAACCTCTGGAAAACTTCTGGAAAAAATGAAGCATTTATTGCAATCAGTCTATAAAAGGTGAGTTACATAAATTTGCCAAGCTGATTGTTTTGTAAATCAGTTTTATTTATATAGTTTTATACTGTTACAGCAAATTCTTTCATGAGCCAGTCAAACCTCACAACATGACAAACCGTGGAACCCGAGACTTCAAATACCAGCGTTTTATCACACGAGGTTTTGATATGCAAGTAACGGAATAGTTGTATAAATGTTAACAGCTGCTACAGAACGAGTGAATGGAATATTCTTGACCAGAAGCATTTAGCACAGAACGACAAAATGCCAAGACATCAAGAATAATTCTGAACAATTTCACTCAACAGTTTTATTCAGTGTCCATCTTGACAGAAATAAAGAAATCATGGGCAGGAGCGTTATGGGATTTTGATGACTGATGTTTTTCTATAAGGTTTTACAATAGCTCATTTTTAAAGTAAGGAAACTTCATCAATTTCCCTTTCCAGTATATGGCACACATGAACGGGACTGTTTCCTTACCTGCAGGTCTGTTTTAAGTACAGCATTGGGCTGTGTACCATATAAAATATGAAAGTATTAAAAACAAGGAAAAAGGGAACAAAAGAGGCACCAGACTCTTCAAAAACATTATATATATTGCATAGCTATTCTGCATTAAACAATAACAGCTTGTCATGAAACAATATGTACTTTATCTAAAGATCTAGGGTTTATGTGTGTACTAGCTTTTAAGTTAAAAGTACTTAGGACAGAGCATGATGTTATTGCTTTGTGTAAAGCATACGTTGTTAATACTGTTATGATTGGTGCAATTTATGTGCAGTAAAAGCCTATTGTAGGCTTTGTAGGGAAACTACCAAAGAATGCCTGTGTCATTGCAAAACTGTCGGTCATAAACAATGGACAGTAGAGAATAGCAAGGGATATTGTGGTTTAGCGTCAGCATTACTATATTCTGAAAGCTGCTTGTTTGTGATAACTGATAAAGTGTTTCATTTGAATGTACCAGATGGTTTACAGTGGGAATTCTGGATGCCGGCTAAATATCTGAGAAGTCAAAACACACAAACAAATGATGATTCATTTGCCCTTCATTGTCCCATTATCTGGTTCATTGTGAGACTAACTGGGGAGGGGGTGGGAGGTGGTTTAAATTAAACAAAATTCCATGGGTGTGTCATTCAACTGAGGCTGCATTCCTATGTTTGTAGCTATAGAATTCAGGGTTAGGGTTAGGGTTAGGGTTAGCAGGGGACTGTAGCAGGAAAATATATTTCTTTACAACAAGAGAATTCCTAAGTTTACATCCAGGAAATTCAAAGGATCACAGGCGGGCAAGGATTGTAGTTAGAGAATCCTTAGGTTTGTGACCACAGGACTCCCAGGTTCGTAGCTAGAAAATTCATAATTTTATAAGGAGAGCAATTCTAGATTTAAAGGCCAAAGGTTTGTAGCTGGAGAGACAGGGGAGTGTACCTTCATTCATAGCTAAAGTCGAGAGAGGATAGGGAGCAGGATGAAGGCATGTAAAGGTCTCTATTCGAAGACAATCTCGGTGGCCTGACGCAGGCAGTTGCTCGTGTCAAACGGCATGTCCTGGTGGGTGATCTGGTTCATGTCCAGGCGGAGGTGTTTCAGACGGGAGTAGTTCAGGGGTCCGGTGAACTTGCAGAAGCTGCTTAGCTCAAATTCTGGAGAACAAACAGACCCATGACAGTAGTCTCTACTAGAAAAATGTGATGACTCTTAGCATTGTTAAGCTAGATAGGCTACCAAGCAAAATTTAATATTGTGTTGAGCATTCTTCTAAATCACTTATCTGCATTCAAGTGACATTAGAGATATCTATTCATTATAAATAATCAAGCCATTAAACTCTACCCATAAAATATAGTGTGTTTACCTGTTTAAAATGGGTTAAATGTGCATCTGGGAGGGCACTAAGTCATGTTACCGAGGGATGTACAAATGAATTCAGAACATTGCCAGAAGAAAGAAACTCACTGTTGATCTCGTTGACCTGCAGATAAAGCTGTTCCAGGTTTTCATGGACCTCAGGGATGGACTGGAGCTTGTTGAAGGAGAGGTCCAGCTCGATGAGAGATGAGACATTGAAGACACCCGCGGGGATCCCTGTGTTGGTCAGCTGGTTGTGGGAGACACGGAGATACTTCAGGGCTGGCAACTTCTGCAGGTAGCCACTGCTGATGCTGTCAATGTTGTTGTAATCAGCATATAAGATCTCCAGGGTATTTGGCAGCCCTGCAGGCAGCTTCTTGAGCTTATTTTTGCTGACGTCCACCGAGATCAGGGATTTGAGGCCCTTGAAGGTCCCAGCAAGGCCCTCAGTGGTCAGCTCATTGCCGTGCAGGTCCACATTGGTGAGATTTTCCAAGCCCGTGAGAGTGTTGGCAGGGAACTTGGTCATCTTGTTCTCGATCATCTTCAGCTCATTCAGACTCTTCGCAAGTGGCCCCACGGGCTCCGTCAGCTGGTTGTAGCTGAAGAACAGCTTCTCCAGCTTGACCAGTTTATCGATGGAGCCCTTGGCGATCTTGTTGCTGGGGATCTGGTTATGGTCTAGGACGAGCCAGCGGAGGTCAGTGGCATTGTCGAAGACGCCCGCCTTGATTTCCTCAATCTGGTTGTTCTGCAGGTAGAGGTACTTGATGCCTGAGGGCACGATGGGGATGAAGCGGAGTTTGCGGCCATCGCAGTACATGGCACTGGGGAACATGATGGGACACTCGCATTCCTGTGCGCAGTTGGGCCCCGACGGACCCAGTAAGGATGAGGGCTGGTAGTAGTCATACTCCCCATAGTACTGGCACAGGGCTCCACCAGCCAGCGCTGCCAACATGCACACAAGGAGCATGGTCATCCTTCTGTCCAAGGGATCTAAAGCTGATCTGTCCCAGACACAAACACAACAGAGACATTCCATTTAGTTTCATAACAAACAACTTAGACCATGACAGTTATGGTGACTGGTAGGATATCCCTACACTGAGTGGGCGTAACTTCCCAGGGGCTGTTGTGAAACTATGCTGAGTGATGTGGACAGTGTTCAGTGTCAGTAGACAGTGTCAGTAGACAGTGTCAGTAGACAGTGCCAGTGGACAATGTCAGTGTCAGTAGACAGTGTCAGTGGACAGTGTCAGTGTCAGTGTCAGTGGACAGTGTTCAGTGTCAGTAGACAGTGTCAGTGGACAGTGTTCAGTGTCAGTAGACAGTGCCAGTAGACAGTGCCAGTGGACAATGTCAGTGTCAGTAGACAGCGTCAGTGGACAGTGTCAGTGTCAGTAGACAGTGTCAGTGAACAAAGTCAAAGGACTATAATAGGAAATGGAAGGGCCACCTGAGAAGCCTAATGTCACGTCATTTCCAGAAAATCTCAAAACTCATGCTGCAGTAAATCCACTGGCAAAACAGAACCTACTTAGCATTACCTGAGTGACGGTTTGTCTGCTTATAAGAATGATGTGTCCCCCTTTCATCATTAAGTATAATAACCACAATATATAAATATTTGCTGGAAAGCTCAGTATCTATAAGCTGAATTCTCCAGTTGCATTTATGCTATTGCACAGCAACATCAAAAAACAGTAAAACGGATTCATGGAAATATCAGATACACAGGTAAAGCAGCCTGAATCAGCCGCCAGGGTTGTGGGTGTCAACAATCAGTATTTCCACCACCCTGGACTGTACATGACAGGGATAGAGTCTACGCAAATCAGACAGAGGCGGAGCACATGGAGGGATGAGGAGATTCGCTCATTTGTCTAGAAGTATGTAGTCAGTCTGCGCCAAACCCTTCCCAAACCTCACAGCAATTAAGAACCCTAAAAGCATGATGTCCATATATCTCAAATTTGCAGAAATTCATTGGCTGCTCCACTGTCAGACTTTCACTGCGGACTCTGTGTATAATGTCCTACAGACCAACAGTCTGCATGAACTCCAGTATCTGCTAAGGTGATTAAAGCCAGATGGCTTTCTGCAGCAGACCATGTGAGAAGGTGATTATGAGTAAAAATGAAAAACACATCTTTAATCGGAGCTTCCTCTCATTCACTGTGATGCACAATCACACCAGTGACGGCACTATTAAAGCCAAGCTGACATGAAGAACTCTCTTTGTAACTAACCATGCATCCAGCCAAAGAGATATGGGACAGATTGTCCAGGGAGATGCTCAGTCTATCTGCAAGACCCTCTACGGCACCACCGGACACTCAGAGAATGAGAACGCTGCCATATTGCATCTTATATGAGTGATGGTTAACGCCAAATAATGGTTTGACTGCAGCTAGAGTAACAGCGCTGAGCCTCAACAAGGAGGAATTCAGTATGTTTCAGGTGAGGCTTAAGGAGCAGAAAGGGGAAGGGAAGAGAGCGGGACAGTAAATGGAGAGAAGCAAGCAGCATGCGCTCAGGCTCAGGCTTACCTTAATGTGGCGATGTGGGCCAGGAGGGTGCAGCCCCTAGTTAGCTGCAGGTAAAGCTGAGTTCTTTCAGGAGAACAGGGTCTCTGGAGGAAGGGAGAGAGAGGGGGAGAGACAGGGAGCCAGGGTGAACAAGAGAGAGAGAGACAGAGAGAGAGAGAGAGAGAGAGAGCGTGGGCTTCTGACAGACAGATGGAAAGAGAGAAAGGCGAAGGGAAAGACTTTGCCAGACCTCTGTGGTCCTGGAACTGAGAGAATGCAGCAGGCAGACTGGAGAGTCACTCTGGACTGTAAAACAGGGATATGGGCAACGCAGGCTGAGCTACGAAGTCCGCGAGAGTCATCACCCTCTCTGATGAGATACAGGTGTTTCCTGACGGGCTCAGCGGGAGTCCTATCAGGCTGGGGAGTCGCAAACCATGGGCTCATCGGCATATATACCTGTCTGGTCAGAGAGAGCGCCCCCCTCAATTATGCCGTCCCACATGTGTTTTTGCTATAAGTCTCCCGCCAACCTCAGAAATGCAAATATATACGTATTGTTTATGAACTCCAAACATATGGTTTTATGTTAGACAAAAGTGCTTAAAGAATACTTGATTAAAAGAAATGAAAAAAGAAAACATCTGGAAGAGGTCCTCTTTAAAAAAAAGAAACTTGGGAAAACAGTGATTTGGGAAAACAGTGATTTAAAACGTCTGGGAGGCAGCTGCCTCTGATTAAACAGAATAAAATTGCACCAAATGTGGGATGTTCTTGGGAGAAAGCAGCAAAAACTCAGCCAAGCACAATTTACATAAGTCTTTATTCCACACCCCTCTGTTTTCAGGACATGGTGCCTTCCATCACGGAACATGGTATGACCCGTGTCCAACTTCTTGCAGATGCTGGGGATAAATCAGAGGCCTCTCACATCAAAAAGGTCTGCTCTGACTCTACTGCGTGACTTTGAAGCCTGCAGCATTTAATTACGCGTATGAATGGTCAAAATGCAGTTTTCCATTTTGAAAAAAGTTGACACCCCCCTCATTCATCCCATCCTTGCTCTGTTCCATTTTCCTGCCTCCCAGAGTTTGGGCTAAAGTGCAGAAGATACTCTCAAATTTCATTGACAAACTGTTCAGGGGCCAAATTTCCAGATATGTAGTAATATGTACCCCACCACATAATAGCTCGACAGTTTTACTTACACAAAAATGTTCTGAGGGCAGAAGTAAAAATGATTAGTTCAGAGATATAACCAATCAGGTTGTAGAGGAGGTGGGTCCAAGCAACTAGAGGAGGCAGGACCAACCAATCAGATGTCTTGGCCCCACCTGCTCTACTTGCTTGGACCCACCTCTGCTACAATCTGATTGGTTATCTCTCCGAACCAATCATTTTACCTTCTGCTCTCAGAATGTTTTTGTGTAAGTAAATCTCTCACTAGCCACATAATACTCCACAAATACACAATTTTTGGCACAATTACATTTTTTTCATAGTAGTTTTAACACCATATTGCAGCTATAATCATGTGAATATTGATTTTTATGTCAACATTTTTACCTACTATAGAGACCAAAGGTTTCCACAAGTTACATATCATTGGTCAGTTATTGTGTCAGTTTAAGTGGATGTCCAATCAGACTTACCTATGATTTCTCCTTGGTCCACCTGTGATTATGGGTCACCTTTTTCCTCTTTAAATTACATGGCCTACAGTGTGTAAACATGAAAGACCAGAATATCCTCTCTTCTCTAAACATAATTCTGTGCTGACTTCCCTGAATTACAATTTCAGCAAATACCACTGTCTACTGTCCACTGCACCATCATCTCAATGACTGTACATCTATCATCAAAGACCTCCCTGCTGGTAAGAGGTGCACTCTACTAGTCAGCTTTAAGTTGCCCTCCTCAGACCGGTGCTTTTTATACCTGGCAATCTGTGCTGGTGTTGCTTTTTGCCTAAGCACGTCATTGAATGAATTAAACCTAAGGGGGTTTCTCATTACCAAGAACGCAAAAGTTGTACTTGTAGTCTTGGCAATAGCGGTCTTGCAGTCTTGCCTCCCAAGAATGAACTTAGGACCCAATGAATGATGGGATTGTTCTCATTTGGTGAGGATACAGCCGATGTATTCTTGATATCTGGGGCATGGCAAGAACGACATCCGGGGATCTTTACCATCCTCTGTACCTATGTTCTTAGTATTGGAAGTGGTCTTCAGCAATGGAGGATGATGTAGGACGGGTACACAAGTAGTCAAGTATGCACATTGAGAAGAATCCACTTTGCCTTTAACCTCTGTGCTGTAGTAGCTATAAAGTGAAAAAGTCCAAAAAATACCTGTAAACACTGCAGCACAGTCCCGATTGGAGATCCCTGACTTGTGATTCAAATACAGAGTAGAGATGCGTGGGGCAATTGTGTTTCCTTCTTGTGTTCCTCTGTTCCATCTTGCTCTCCATAAGACACACAGACGCACCTACAGGTGAGAGCAAGCTGGCAAAGTATGTCAGAGCCGTAACATATGGAGTCCATTGGAACGGAGCAAATGCCAGATAAACTACGTCATAAAAGCTGTTTTTAAACTTCTGAATCTTCTTTGACTACATAACCTACTGGCAATCAGGGAAGCCATCTTTCCGTTCGTTTCCGCTTGTTTTTTTTGGTCGTTAGAGACAAAAAGCCTAAAACGGAGTACAATCCGACACTTACCATGTCCGTATTTTCCTGTGGGACACGCTGAGGAATTTGTGACTCCATGTTTAGATGAGCTGTGCCCTCAGTGGCTGTAAACATATGAAACCGAATTCATAACGATGCCGGGTTTCTGCTAAAGTCTAACTTTCCCATTTTCTCAATTACCCTTATACATTGCCAAGGAAATTCATTGATATGTTAATGTATTTCTGGTAACTGTGACTTTATTTGTCTGTTAATTAGGTTTACAAGTTTGATTTCCTACTGATATTCTGTCCTTAGATTTTCTGTTGTTCAGGTAGCTTTAATAAGCAATTATTACAATTTATACATTTAAATTAGTAGTAATCAAATAACTCATATTTTAATAGTAGTTTATACATGCATCTTAAAATCTGCAGGATTCTGGTCTGTAATGATGAGAGGGTTCGTCTATAAAAACCTGACAAAAATTCAGCCACAGTCGCTTACAAATTAATTTTCCACTTACTGCTTATTTCTACCTCTTGTGACATTTACGCATCTGGTCTGGGGGGGTAGAGGCCCACAGCGTCGAACCACAGCAGCCCTGCAGCCGAGGGAGAAGCAGAGAAGTTTCCATTTTGTTATGCAATGTGAATTTTCCACGGCCCCCATCCTCTCCACCGCTGGCTTTTCTGTGGCAATGACTGGACGTGCTGTCCTTTGAAGGTACCATAAAGACATTGGATCAAGTGTCTAATTTTAGAAAAAACAATAACTTTTTTCAATAAATTCCCGAGGAATACTTTACATTTTTTGAGATTTTTCTATTGGTTGGAACTGGTTTCGTATTTTTAATTATGTTTTTTCTTACTGCTGTTATAGAAAAGTGCCTGTTCCTCTCCTCAAGTCTGTTAGTCTGTTAACCCCAAATAAAGCTCCCTTCCCCCCCAGCCCGTGTGTCATGTGGAGAAGTTGGCCTTCACGACTGAAGCAAGCCTAAAAAACATGAATAACATTTAGCCTGATCTAGGATCAGTCGGGCAGCATGGCGGCTCAGTTGACAGCACTGTGGCCTCGTACCTGCATCTGATCCCGGTTGTTCCTGTGGGTGTCCCCCTTAGTCCAAAAGTATGCAGATTTGGCAATTTACAGTCCTAAACTGCCCATAGTGCGTGGATTCTGTGATTGACCTGCTGTTCCCTGCTTTGCACGCTGCACATCTTTGAACATGCTCCAGGGCCCAGGTTCGCCATGACCCTGTACTGTAGAAGGGATGAATTGAACTTCATTGACCATTTGCATTTATGATAAGGTATATTCTAGTTAAACATGCAATTACTCAAATGAAAGGCTGCAGTGTTACGTTTGCACCAACTGGAGTTCTCGTGGCATGTGGCTGTCCATGCTGAAGCCCGTGGAAAAACACAGTTGCTCATCATCTGCAGGTTTCACTCTGCACCAGGGGGCCCACGCTGCTTCAGAAGGTGGTGCGTTTTTTTCCAGGGAGCTGGCCAGTCTTCCCAGTGCGTGACTGAGCGTGCTCGTGTACTGTCTTTGCAAGTTTTCTCATGTGGATCACCGGTCACGCTGGTCACCTGCGGCCATCTTTGGTGTACCCCACCTGCACGACAAGCTCTCGTAGCTACACATACCCAACTCCACCTGCAGATGGATCACAGACTTCCTGACCAACAGGAAGCAACATGTGAAGATGGGGAAACATATTTCTATCTCTCTGACCATCAGCACCGGATCGCCGCAAGGCTGCGTCCTTTCTCCCCTCCTATTCTCCCTCTACACCAACAGCTGCACCTCCATCCACCCGTCTGTCAAGCTCCTGAAATTTGCAGATGACACCACCCTCATCGGACTCATCTCTGATGGGGACGAGTCTGCCTACAGACAGGAGATTGATCGCCTGGTGTCCTGGTGCAATGGGAATAACCTTGAGCTCAACGCCCTGAAGACCTGTGGAGATGATTGTGGACTTCAGGAAAAGCTCTGCCCCACCTCTACCCGTCTTCCTGCTCGGCTCACCAGTCACCCCTGGGGAGTATTTCCGCTTCCTGGGCACCACGATCAGCAAGTCCTTAAGTGGGAGATGAACATCTGTTCTCTCACCAAAAAAGCTCAACAGAGAATGTTCTTCCTGAGGCAGCTGAAGAAAGACTAATCTACCAAAGACTATGACGGTGCACTTCTACACTGCCATCATTGAGTCCATCCTCATCATCGTCTGATACCCTGCTGCCACTGCCAAGGACAAGAGCAGACTAAAGCGCATCATCCACTCTGCTGGGAAGACGATCGGCTGCAACCTTCCATCTTTACAGGACCTGTACGAGTCCAGGTCCTTGAAAAGAGCAGGAAGGATTATGGCCGATTCCTCTCATCCTGGTCACAAACTCCTTCGTACTCTTCCCTCTGGCAGAAGGTTGCGGTCCATTGGGACCAAAACATCACGCCATAGGAACAGTTTCTTCCCCAACATGGCCCGCCTCATCAATAAGGCCAGGAACACTCGCTCAAATACTATTTCCCCATCCTAGCACAAGCATGCACTCTATATACACTTTGTATATATTTCCACTGCTGTATCATATTCCATGTACAATAACTATTTATTTTAGTACTTGTACATACTCTATGTATATATATTTATATATTAACCACCTCACCTCTCGAAGTCTGGCACCAACCACCAAATTCTGGCACCAACAAGCAAATTCCTTGTATGTGTGAACGTACTTGGCAATAAACTCGATTCTGATTCTGATTCTGTTGAGAATGCTGGTCACTGGTGGCCATCTTTTGCATACCCCAGCTGTCGAGAATGCTGCTCACCGGCGGCCATCTTTGATGTACCCCAGCTGTCGAGAATGCTGGTCACCAGCGGCCATCATCGGCGTATCCCAGCTGTTGAGAATGTCGGCCATTTACGGGAACGGACTCCGGTGACTGTGATGTCAGCACGTCTCCAGACTTGTCCATCATTTTGAGGCACATTTCAGGATAAAGAGGGAGGTGTATTCCTGTGGTGTGAGCTTTCTGCCCCAATCACTGCTGCCGTCCTTCATTGCCCCTCCTGCGTTTTGACCCTAATCACCCCCTCCCCAGATAATGCCCCCCATCCCCACATTCCCCTCCTGCCCCTCAAACATGACATTCCCCCTTAACATTTATAACTTAAAGGCTGGCATAAGCATGACCCTGACTGGTCTGAAGCTTTTGCCAGAGCCTCCCATGTGTGTCGGGACCAACCCAGAGGCTGTTGCTGTAGTCAGCATTCCGTTCCACCCTTTTCCTTCTGCTTTGTTCTCCTGAACACCATAAATTACTCCATTTACCTCTTGAGCTGCTGTCTGCTGCCTTTACCCTTCATGTCACATCCCAGGAGTGTTTGCACCATTTCACCCTGTATTCTTTATAAATCAGCATTCATTTCACCCAGCTGGACATTGTGCTGAAGATGTTGAGAAAGCACTGCCCAGTAGTGTCCCCCCCCCCCCCCCCACGGCCCACAATGTACAGTACCTACAATATAGTGACAGACACAGCACATCATCGAACACACCCTCCTGCACAGATGGTAGGAAGCAGGTAGGGGAACAATGAATACGGCAGAAAGATGTGGTCAAGAGAACTTTGTAATAAACAGGGTGTGTGCACCATAAGGGGGCACTAGAGAGCACCATTGGCAGGGACACTGATGAGTTGCTCTGATAAAGACAGCATTGCTTGTTGGCTTCCAGGCTCCCAAACAAGCACTTTTGTTCTGTCTGTTACAAGGCAACGGGTTCCTTGCCCATTATAGGTGCCAGTAGTCAATATGATCAATATGGTCTCCTGGGGACCTTACGGATGGAGTGCCACCTGGACTTTCTGATCTTCTGGCCTCTGAAAGTCACGCTCCTTGCTGTGAATACTGATACAGTCCTTCCTGTTGCTGGGTGTCCTCTTTCACTCTTACCTTCTGCAGGCATTGCGATATTCTCCAATACACCAACTCTTCTCTCAATGTTCACAGAATAAGATGGTTTTGGTCTGGTCATTAGTCACAGTATTAGTCACGCATAAAAATGTTTGGAGATCTCTGTTTTTCCGGAAAAGCTCAGTCCGGTCCTCCTCGACACGCCTGCCAATCGCAGGGCTCCTGGGCACAGCAGACTGCCCGTCTGTGAGACCATAAACGCTCAGCTCGGATTCCACAACATTCAAATTCCCCATTTAAAGAGGGGCAGGAGCTCAAATGGATCCATGATTTATGTTGTCTTGGCGGCTGGTCATTCCCACACTGGATTCCCTTTGTCCAATTTCCACTCCTCCTGAAGGCTCCTCCACTTTCTCCAGCTTCACTCAGATCTGTGTACTTTTTGATTTTGTATAACCACAGAAGCACTGCTGCATGCACCCATGAGCACCTTCCACACAAACTACATCATGAACATCATAAGACCGCTGTCACCATGGACACAACATGGCTGCCGTCATTGTGGATATAAGCTCAATGGCTGCTATGGGTGAAGTTCATAGATGAATTCAACGCTGAATCCCTACCTCAACAATACATATATTCAATCCTGTCTGAAGGTTTTCAGTTCAAAACTTGCACAGGACTAAGCTGAGTATTTCTCAGGCACATCTAACATATCTTGACTCTTTATACTGCAGTGATTATCCATTAAACAGAGCAGAACACTCCGCTAGCCCTGCAGCACTGGGGGGGGAGACCCCGTCTGCTGGCTGTTTGTGACGATCCCCCACTCTACACAGATAATCATGAGCCACAGGTGGGCTCGAGACTCTCCAAGGTGCCAAAAATGGTGTTTTATTGCTGTTACTTTATGTAAATGGTTTGCACGACGAAGAACATCCTGGAGATTAATAGAAGATGAGACAGAACAAGGCAGGAGTGCTTTGAGTTTATATAGAAATAAGAGAGGGTGCTGACACATACATACAGTAGAGTGACACAGGGATAAGAAACTGGTATGTGCACATCTGTGCTTAAGTGTGTCATAATTTCCGTATTATTATTTGCATCCTCTAAAGCATTCACATGTGTTATAAACAGACACTTTGTAGATGTTTATTAAAGCAATCAGAAACACTTAATAAACCTTTGGCCTTCGAGACTCCAGGCTCTGCTGTTGTGGCGGTGAAATCCTGTTTTTCAAAGCGGAAATCTCAGAAACAGAGGTTTCATTCACATGAAATGTATTTTTAAAGCTCCAATGTCTTGATTTTCCATCTACTTCCAAGACGCCAATGAGTGGAATGCTGATTTCAGCCAGGAAATCTTCTGCCTCCCTTCTCCCTTCGACTTTTCTAGAAACACTCTGCCTGTCTACCTGAGCCTTGTTCCTTCCTCGGAAGGAGATACTGCAGCACCCTCTTGTGGCGGGGCGACAAACTGCCTCCACTCGTCAGATTCAAATTTCCAGCCTGTGCCAGAGAATTAAGCTCAAAAATGCTGATTTTGTTGTATTCTTTATTAGATTTGGGACGCCCACGCCGGAGTCCCTGCTCTGTAAGTTCACCTTTATTGCTGATATAGTTTGTTTGCCCTAGGGTAAGTGCTTGTACTTCAAAGCAATGAAAGGTTTCATACAGCATGTATGTACAGCATCTACACATGGAACATTCACATGGACAGGATCCTGGGGGGGGGCATGGCCAGCCACCCACATCCTCCACTCGTTTTCAAAATGAGAAAAAAAAACAAACAAACAGACAAAGCACATGATCATCTGTGACTCAAAGACCATGGGTGCATAATAAACACAGCAAAGCATGCAAGTAGGTCTTTGGGTAAGGTTTTCATTAAAATGTATATACGGTTTATTCTACATTTCTGCCTGGTGTTAATTCATTTCTGGCATCATACGGTCTCTCTGAGATATGCCGGAAGATTTTGTTTTAAATGCTTAAACATTTCCCCTTACATTTATTCCCCAAAAAAAGCAAAATAAAAAACAAAAATGCAAAGCAATGATGGCTTGTTCTCCTTCCTTACTTTGACTACGATATGGAAAGAAAATCACACGTTTGGTGTTTATTCTGCATTGATATCACACCACTGGAAAGCTACTGTCATATACAGAAAGGAAACAGTCCTTTAGTACATTCTAGTTTGCCACTTATGGTCTACGGTTTTTCGGAGACGTCAGTTAATCTTTTACCATGCCTGCTCAACAGGAAAATGGGCCCAATTTTCAGAGGAATATTAAGAACAAGGCGTGGGATCAAGGCAAGGGCGTTATGGACGATTCTTTATCAGCTAAATTCAAAAACAAAACAATAACATATCAGTGTTAAATGAAATTTCTGCAATTCCTATGCAAGGTGTGGTTGTTGTAAAAATGTTAAGAAATCCTCTTTTATAAAACCGCTTCTCAAAAGCAAAGAAGATATTTGTTTGTGTTCTTTAGCTGCTGAGGTAACAGCTGAGATTCATGAGCTTTGTTGTGTGTTCTGGAAATTTCTCGGGAATAGTGTTATTTTAAGGCAGCTGTTTTGTTTCTGAGATTAACAAAAGTCATGTAGGTGGTGTTATCTCTGTAGTACATAGAAAGGTTGGGGCTGGGTGTTGCTCAGACTGGAGTTTGTGTGTAATGTGTTACTGTTATGTTCATTGAGCTGGGAGGTGCATATTAGGGGGGTACTGTTGTGGTGCTGCATTCTATTTCTTCCTGTAGTTGCCCAGCTGGATGGCGGAGCGGTCGAAGACGCAGCGGAAGGTGACGGGCGGCACCTCCCAGTAGGGCACGGGGTTGCTGAACAGGCTGATACCAGAGTACATGGCTTTCTTGGTGTTGTAGCTGGGGGGACAGAAGTCTTCGGGCCCCACCGCTGCAATCTTGTTGCTATGGAGATAGATCACCTGTGGGGCAGGGGTGATGGAGAGAGGGGAGAGGGGTTATGGGAGCAGACTATTGCAATGAAACAGGCGGGGTTTCTTTTAATAAAAAAAACACATGTATACTTCATGATTTATTGGCTAATTTTGCTTAATTTATTTTAGAATTTTATAATATATTTATTTCGCCTAAATTTTCATTAACATTATATTCTGTAGTGATATAAAATAAACAGACGATAGCATTGTTTCCCTGTCCCATCCTTGGGGACCCACAGCCTCACGTTTTTTCTCCCTCTGAGCTCCCTGTCAGACAGTGTACATCTTTGCTCCCTCGCAGCTTGCAAAAGCGTGGACTCTTTGTTGGTCCCCAAGGACCGGATTGGGAAACACTGGCCAATTGTATGAGATGCTATTAGTGAGCAATGCTTCAAGCAGCAGCCGACCTGGATGTACTTGTGTTCAGGCAGGCCTGGGGGCACAGAGGTCAGCACGTTGTAATCTAGGTGCAGCTCTCGCAGGTGGGGCACCATGGACAGGGTGCCATTCTCCACAACACTGATCTCGTTGTAGCTCAGACCGAGCCTGGAGAGACAAGGACACACGCGACAGGAGCATTTAGGAGGCCGAACGGCACACGGCTATAGCCAAAGCACCAAAGATTCTGTTTTATTCAGTCTGTTACTGCTTAGTTAAATGCTATTATGGAATAGCTGTAAAAATGAAAAGCTCTGGATCTTAGCTCTCCTTCATCCAAGCTCCCCACTCAATAAACCACTAATGGACCTGGGGATTTTTTTTTTCTTATGCAAACAGCACATGGCTCGTTTGTTTTGGCCATGCTGGTACTAGCCGTTGGCAGTGTCCTACGTCTGCTTGGGGACAGCAAGTTCTCTTACTTGGCCAGGTTCTTCAGTCCCTTCAGCCTGTCCGCCTGCACCTTGGTGATCTTGTTCCCATCCAGATGGAGCTCTGATAGGGAGGTGGGGAGGCCTAACAGACAGCACAGCAGAAAATGGTTGATACAAGAAAGATTTCAATCTCATAGCCTTATCCTGCAAGTAAACTTATCCTAAATAACTCGGAGGCCTTTTTGGCGCTGTTATCAGTGACTCCTTAACCTCTAAGCATGAACAGAGTCTTCTCTTCTCAAAGAACGTTTGACATGTGAAAGATTTTTGCACACAGCCGGGAACTGTCAGGCCCCGCCCACTTCGCCTGTCCTACCGCATGTTTCCTGTATAGGCATGGCAGGTTTGGGGATTAGTTCAACCTGTTGTTCTGCCCTCCTGTTAAGCACCCAAAGCTGTCTTCTGTTGTATCCCTTGGTAGTCCTGTATATAAGTGCTCCCCAGTCCAGCCATAGTTACCTGTTGTCCCTTCAGTATTTGCATGTGTCTACAAATAAAAGCCCTCCCAAGGGTACCTTGCATTAGCAGCAAGCTTTAGGGTTGTTCTTCTCTTGCCTGGCGCTACAATAACTGTTAACTTCAGCCCATTGTTTATTTGTCAGCTGATCTTCCATTACGGAATGGGATCCAGTTAACTTAAAATCGAGTTTAGCTGAGCAAAAGGAGACACCTCCTACCTTTGGGGACCTCAGTGATGTTGGTGTCTGCAATGCGGATGTAGGAGACGCGTTTCAGGTCCGAGAAAGCGCCGCTCTCGATGCCTGAGCTCTTCAGAGGGTTGGAGCCAAGCTCTGGAAAACAACAGTGTTGTGTTAAATTGTTATATTCAGTTTATTCATGCTTTATTAATCAATAGAGGACTCATTTAGGTGGTTATCCCCCTGCTGATGGAGGTTCCCTCTTCTCAGTGCTCTGTCGTCTGGTCGCTATGGTTTTATGGGAGGCCCATGTTCTGCTGCTTCTGGTATCTGATCCATTTTGGTTGGAGTCAGTGAAGCAGGAAGCTGTCAGGGTCGGGTTCGGTGGCCGTCTGGCCCTGTTCCATGTGTCTTTTCCCCATTTGACCAGCAGTTCCTGTTGGCCATCCCCTTTGGTGTTCCCCTATTATGTTTTCCTGATCTGTGGGCCACCGTGTACCTGTATGGGTTGAACGTGCAGCTCAGAAGCTGACATTCCTCTGGTCATGAGTTTGAGGCTGCCTCTCCCTTATGTTATACTTTCGTTTTTATTTTATTCTCTGGCATCTGTTTGGTTGGTTTGTCTTGTTAATGGTCACTCTGCCCGTGCCTTGTTTAGTATGTTTTGTTTTACTTGTTCCTTGACTCCTCCCAATATTGTTAGCGCTCTGTGTGGTTGCTATTCGCTAATTGTAATTTATTCCACCTGTTTCTTGATATCCTATGCTTTTACTGATTGTGTCACGCCCCTGGGGGGCGGAACCCCGCAAGTGACGCCGATTAACGCTAATCAAACCACAGGACAAAAGAACCTATTGAACAGAAGGACATTGCGAAGTATTGAGCCAATGTCTTACAGCCATACCGAGCGATCTACTTGTCTTCCGTCTGCCCTGCCTTCCCGGATCTGCCTGTCTTACCTGTATCTGTACCTCACCTGTTTGCCTTCCCTCCCCAGCGTCCTCGTCATACCTGATCCTCCAGTCCCGACGTCCTCCGCCTTCCTCTTCGTCGTTCCCCTTCGTGCCCTGTGCCTGTGCTTCAGTGTTGGACAGCTCTACCTGGTACCGACTCTCGCCCACGTCTACCGACTACGATTCTCACCTGCCGATTCTGAGTTCCTTCTACCTTTCCCCTCCCCTGAGCACCGCCTCGGCGTTGCCGCTGTTTTCATAATAAATTGATCGTTTCCCTGCATTTCTGGATCCTTGTCCGTCTGTTCCCCTCTCTGCCTGACAGATTGGTTCATTTTAGTTATGACCCACACCTGCACCTTGTTAGCCCTTGTTAGCTGTGTATTTAAGTGTCTTCTTATTATGTTACTTGTTGGTTCATTGTGGCTGATTTCCACGTATAGCTGTTACCCTGTGTTGTTTCCCGGTTAGTAGTACCCCCTGTTATGTATTGTAGTTTTACTATGTCCCTTCCCACCTTTAGTATTTGTTCCCGGTGTTGCTCCCTACCTTGATTTCTGTTTTATCAGCTGGTTTTGACCCCTCATGGTTCCTTATTTTTGTTATCTCTCTTTCTGTTCGTTTGTTAATAAACCCCTGGTTTATTTGAATCACCACGTGGGTCGTCCCTCCTTTCAACATGCCCCACCATATCAGAATCTTGATAACCTTCAAGCTACCGAACTTCCACAGAGAGTTTTAATCTACTGCACAGTGGCCTCTTGAATACTCAGGATCAGTGGCAAAACATAAAGACCCGGTCTGCACGCAAGGCCCTGTACATACAAACAAATTCAGAAACTATGCTAAGGGCTTTTAACTTCCAGCTGAATGTAATATTTCTTCCCCGTGTCCCGTTTTTGTTTCTGCATTGAGCTTTTTCAGTCTGTTATTTCACATCTGATTCAACGTTTCCATTCTGTTTGAAATCAGGGCCCCCACACAATATCATGGCCTATATCTGGGGAATCGGGGCCTGCAGCTGTGTAGATACCGTGTGGTGTGATGAGGAGCCAGGCTGTGTGCTGGAGATTCAAGCCGTGCTCTTAGAAGATACCCCTTATGCTTTTAATTCCCTGTTTGTACCCACAATGATGATCATTTATGACCCCTCGAGGGCGACATCCATACCCATGACGATGACCTGGGCCATTCCCTGGAAGGAGGCCTTCTTGATTTTGGCAATAAGGTTTTCATGGATGCGCAGCTCCTGCAGGCTCTTGGGCATGTTGGTGGGCATCTCCTTCAGCAGGTTTTTGGACAGGTAGAGCCTCTGCAATTTGCCCAGGGGCATGAAGGCTTTGGCATGGATGGTGGTGATGAGGTTGTTCACCAGGATCAGAGCCTTTCAGGGGAAGTAAAGGGTGAAAAGTCAAAGTGAGACAGACAGATACCCAGAGTGCATCAGTTCCAGTGAGGACGTCAGGATTTCCAGTTGGGTTTTTAATGCAGCCAGCTTGGAAGCGCAGTCAACACATGAGAATATGACCCATGTAAATAAAGTGATTTGGTTTCATAAATAAGTCTCAATGACCTTCTATTACAACTTGTTTATGCTGTTCAGACGTATCACTGCTTATAAAGTAACCTGCAAATATACTAATGGTTCTATGAATTTCTAGGGTGTCCAAATGCTATGGGTATGGGGACACACTCACGGGTTGTTTCATTTGGTGACCTTCACTATTGACTGAAATAAAAACACACACCGTACTCTGCTTCCCTAATCGCTTCCAGACATGAAGAAATCTGAGGAATGCTCCCTCTCAAGAGGGCGATTTCTGCACAATGGAAAGAGTATGAAGACCCAGACAGAAGTGCCACAGGACGGAGCTGGTCCCATGATGTCTAAACAAACATTTTGCTGGATGAGTTTTAAGATGGCGGTGGTTTCACGCTAAAGGTGAACCTCTGGCACACGCTGGTGAAAGGCTCACAAACATCGTCAAGGAGGACTTGGGGGCATTGCTCTTCAGATGCTTTCCCAAGGTGCTGGAGAGCACATTGTTTTTTCTACTGGAACATTCCAGAAAAGCATTTCTGGGTACAATTTAGTTGAAATAGTTTGGCGTGCGCTGAATGCAACAAACTTAATAAGAATCTGGAAAAAATGACTGAGGTTTAGAATTCAAATTAAGTTTGCTTGCAGCTTACTCCCAAACTAAAGCATACATCTTCTTAATCAAGGTTCACCGATTTTATCAATGTTTCGTGTTCTTTACAAAATGAATGCGTACATTTACAATGAGCATCGTCAGGTACAAAAACTGAAAAATGCGATTTTGAGACATTAAGATGTGTGAAGACATATTGCATGAGGAAAGGTTTGCATGACATGCAGGAAAAAGTGCAAATCTCACGTGGAGGCCTTTGAGAGTCTTAAAATCATTCTCGCGAATTTCAGCGATCTTGTTGTTCTGCAGGTCAAGCAGAGTTGTTTCTCCAGGGAGGTTTTCTGGAATGTTTTTCAAGCCTGGAAGTTAAACACACAGATACATTCGATTAGGTCTTACCTCAGCTATCTTAGACACATTAAGCTTAATGAAATACTCCTGGAGTCTGAGCTTCCATAATCACGGCTGTGATCAATCACAATCAGCTCTCCTGTTTCCTGTCATTTGACACCAAAATTTTTTTTGCACAATGATTGACTTTCAACAGAAGTCCCATTACGTAGCAATACACTTATTTGGCATTTAATGACACTATTGCAATCTTTACCTGAATAATCCGTTTTCAGAATGAGTGGATGGATTTGATATTACCAAAATGATGTTTATAATTGGGAAGGGGGGTTTTTGGGTGTGTAAAGGGAAATTATTTAAGATATGTATTCCATGACGTATGTCATTTGGAAAAGGCTGCAGAGCCCCTGTTATCCTCTGTTGGATAATTAATTGGAAGATTAATGGATGGATGGATTAGATTGAACAGTGCATAGCCGTTTAAACTTCTTTATTATTAATATTTTAAATTTGTATTCAATGAGACTATTACTTAATTTTTAGTTTTTACTGATCCTGGTGTTAAACATATGGAAGAGTATTAGGGCCACCATGAAAATATTATTTGAATTCTGACTTTTTTTCTAAACTCAGAATTCTGAGATTAAAGTCAGAATTCAAATAATATTTTCATGGTGGCCCTAATCCTCTTCTGTATAAACATGACAAGAATGAGAAGCTAACAAAGCGATTTTGGTGTGTTTAGTCAGGCAGAAAACAGAGCTGAAAGTTGAGACCTTTCCGAGAGTTTAAAATGAGAAGTGTTTTGGGAGTTTTGGAGAATTTGGCAACATTTTTTTTACAGTTCTGTAGAGTTCCAGAGAGGTTTGCAGTGTTTTCTAAAGATTTGGAGAGTTTCAAAATGTTTGGGAGTGTTTTTATTAAAAGTTCTGGAGAGTTTCGGAGCAGCTTGGAGAGTTTCAGAGACCGGCAAAGAAAAAATGTCTGCGCTGGAGACACTAGACTGCGTTGCATTGCCCTAAATGCCCCATCTTCCTCACAGCTGGTTGTGGTTAGTCTTCTCCCAAAGCACTGGGGGGAGGAGGGGAGACTACAGAGCCCAAGCGAGGGCTCTGACGTGGAGGATCAACAGCTCCGTGGAAGAATGGAGAGCAGCAGCAGAAAAGCATCTCCATGGTAGAACATCCAGCAAGACGGAGGGCTACAGAAACCGGGGTGTGACAGTGCATGGGTGCAATTTAACTGGCTGCAAAGACAGCAAGCAGGTCAGCGGCATTGCTACAGGAGGCTCTCACACGTGGCGAGACCCCGCACAGAGCACGCTCAGTCTGCACCTAGCAATGCAGTGGGGCATTCGAGTCGAGTTGCAGGTGGCCTGATGATCCACCTGTACACATGTAACATCGTGAACATCCACATCTTTTATAGATTTATTCTGTAAACTCACTGCCTGTATTTCCCAGATGACTTTTTTTCTATTCCTGACTGGATAAAAAATAGCTTTTATTATGCATCATATCTTTTTGTTATAAGGGCTTTGAGTACAAGTAAAAATAGATGTTAATGAAAAACTACAATCACGGTAAACTAAAACCTGATTTTATGATGAAATGTCGCTGAAGGGTATGGAGATGCCAGAATTAGCTCATCTTACAATATGGCAGCAATTTTGACAAGCGCTCCAGTGCTGTCAGACAGCACGACCCAGAGAACTGGCGCTTTAATTGTGAGTAAAAGGCAGCCAAGGTTGATATAATGCCAAAGAAAGAAGGGGTCTGGCTTCGCACTGCCGTAAGCATGTTGCTCTACCCAGCATCCCAGTGACTGTACTTCCACTTCGTCAAGACATACCTGCACACAAGGTTATATCCATCAAAATTAGCTTAGCTAAGTATGACTTCCTGCCCCCCGTTCCCCCCCTCCCCCCAAATTAGCCTATTGTTTCCAAAGCCTCCAACTACATAACCGCTCTTGCCATGACTCTGCGAGACGCTGGGCCATTTCAGCTGCTCTCGCCATTTCCAATCACTGCAGACAGAGTGCTGGACAAAAAGTCCATGGAAAAAGTGACACCAGAATGCTTATATGTCTGGAATTATAGCAGCGGTTGGGTAATGTAAGGCATGAGAGCTAAGCTGTATTATTGACGTTCTGGGATGAGTTTTTGTCTTTTTTGAAACTCTTTTTAGCATGTAACAGTTGACTGAGCATTCATATCAGGTCATGGATGCCCACCCTACCCAACTTAAACCCCCTACACTCAGAGTGCTTGGAACAAGCTTGGGCTCCAGACCAATGAGCTCAACTTCAAATGTGTGAACCCAACTGTACTCCACTCTGGGACCCTTCCCATTGGCTCTTCCCCACTCCTGGAGTGCTCTCATTGGTGGATTCAGTGAGGTAATGGAAGACTTTCTCTGAAAATGACCCTCCTTGTCAGTCTGCCTGATTTATATCCAGACTGCACTTCAAAATCTTATTTTTATTTTTTCCCTGAGTGTTTCAAAGATAATGCCAGAATTTAAAAAAAAGTAACCCTAATGAATACTTTGCACTCTCTCACAATGGCAAATTGTGAACTGTAGGGCAAAGCAGCTGGATTAGGGTCCTTTTGTTTGTTTACTAGGAGATAAACACGTCACATATGGGGGGTGGAGATAGTGGACAGGAAAACATATGGTTGGCTGCTGTAATTAGAGACTGGCTGATTGATCAGCAAGATTTATGGGAAAATACTATTTTTCATGAGCAACAATGAGAGGAAAATGAGGCTGGCTTTCCCTCAAATTTTCTCTTCCTGAAAAACAATGATGAAAGTGAAAAAAAAAGATTTGTGGTGGAAATCTCAGCATCAACAGGGCCACTTTGGTCCACACCATGTGAAAACACTTAGCGCCTGTTTAATAATCCTGACATTTTAATGAAACGGGCAAGATGACAAAGGATGAGGAGACTGTTTTTCTGGAGAATATTCATGAGGAATGAAAATCTTGGCTTTACCTGCCAATATTGAAGTCAAGCAAGATAAAGCTTATCTGAGGAAATGTGCATTGCGAATAGGACTAGACCCGGTGTCTCCAACTCCGGTCCTGGAGAGCTACTGTCCAGTAGGTTTTCTATTCTACCTGACTTTTGATGAGCCACACCTGCTCCTGGTATTTACCTGAGAACAGGTATGGGTCATCAGAAGCCAGGTATGATAGAAAACCTACTGGACAGTAGCTCTCCAGGACCGGAGTTGGATACCTCTGGACTAGACCATCATCCACTACCAAAGGAACTTCTGATTTTCATGATCTGTGTTCATTTTAAATTGTAATAGTCTGAACTTTCTACAGCAATTCTTTTTATTTTGAGGAATAACCTGGTTGTGAAGCACAGACACGCCCTCCCCCCTGGGGCATCGTCTTCTTACCTAGATCAGAGCACTGCACCACCCGCAGGTGGCACTGGCATCTGAAAGGGCAGATGGGTCCATCTGGGCCTGGGATGGGACTAAAAATTGGGGGCTTTTTGGTCACTGGCACCAATCCAGAACCTCCTTCCTCCTCCATCATGAAGTCCAGGAAGCCTGTCTGCTTAAAGGGCAGAGCCCAACAGCATGTGACCAGGAACAAGTAGATGAAAGCTGACTTCATGGTGCCGCCAGACGTCAACTGGGCCTAGAGGAGTCACACGGTATGAGTAAGATCCCAGCTAACAGCATTGAAATGGCACACAAATACACCCCAAATAACTGGGGGCAATAAAATGCTGTAAAATCACACATAAAATACAACTGGTTTGCCTTATGAGTTTTAGCAGTACTTTGTTAACTGGCTGCAATAGTGTCTACTTGACTGCTCACATGCTTTCTTCAGAGAACTTCCAGAATGCCTGATAATCACAGGATGAGATTCCTACTGCGGGACACAAATGTTTACGCAGAGACTTCAGTGTTGTGTTTTACTGCATCCAATGAATTTATCTCAACAACAGTTGGTTACAGATGGTTTTTGTCTGCTAGGGCCCTGTTAGTATCTTCAAAGCTGTAGAGTTGAGACAGGATACGGCCTGTTCATTCCTGCTGACTCACTAACAGCTACATGAAGACAGTCAATAAAATTATAAAATATCCCGTCGAGCTCAGGTTTTGTCTAAAGTTCAGCCTCGGCAGAGAGGTCTTTGAAGACTAGCTGAGGTGGCTCACACCCATACAATTATGTATGGAGGGAAGACTCAATGGCCGGCTGCTGTCTCCTAACTCAAAGCTGAGGTTGGCAGCGCTGACACTCGCCTGTTTGGTGGTGAGCATATTGCCGGTTTGGCAATGCCTGTGTTTTGTTTCATGGACCAGGCTATGTTTTCTGGGTCACGTCGGGTTCAGGGACACATAGTTCCCCGTATGTCTACACGCCACCAAATTACAGGTCAGCGTTGCTGTAGCCAGCCCAATGACAACAACGGCACTGACTCAGAATTATAGCTGAGGACACAGCTGAAACTGGACGGGCAGCCTGAGCACTGGGCGTGTTCTGCTATGTTTCGACTTGGGCCTACAGCATTATAACTCGAAATCATTCATCTTGGCACTGTTTTATCCCCAAAATGAGCTGAGACAGAAACTGACACCAGGGAGTAACTTTCTTCTTGTGTGAAATGAATGTGTACATTTCAGTGTGTCATCATAATTCCATGATGTCCTCCTAATAACTGTAATCTTTCACCTCTAGTATCATTTTCCTGTCTGCAAAAGTTGTCGCCTGAGAACAGTGTTCATTCAAAACAAATATGGGGAAAAAAACTTTTATGTGAAATGTGAAAAGTGGCCACATCATATTTTGAGAGCTTCTGTGCCATCACATGCATGACCACACCCATTGCTTGCATGACCACACCCATCACATGCATGACCACACCCATTGCATGCATGACCACACCCATCGCATGCATGACCACACCCATCGCATGCATGACCTCACCCATTGCTTGCATGCCTGTATGCACTGCATACATACCAGCATCCATCGCATGCATGCCTACGCCTGTCGCATCTATGTCTGTACCCATCACACACATGTCCACACCTATCGCATACATGCTTCCAGCCATCACAGGCATGCCCACACCCATTTCATGCATGCCTGCGCCAACGATTCCACATCATTAGGGGTAGGCTTGGGGCCACAGTTAGGGCTGAGACTAGGAATCTAAGCCACAGCAGAGGAATGGGAGTGCAGTTGTGCAATTGGATAGCCCACATTCGAGTGCTCACACTGGTGCAGGGGCGTGCCTGGGACCGGGCTATTAGGCTGAAGCCCCGTATATTTTTTCTATAGCCCTAAACCTTTTGAATGGTGGGGTGATGGCATAGCTTAGCATTGCTATCATAAACTTTTGATGAGTTTGACCATCAAATCCTATCCAGAGCAATTCCCTGGCCTCTCCCTCCCTACTCTCCTTACTTCTGCAGGGCTACTGTCTCATTTTGATTCTCCCCACATGCACACACACACACGCATACTCACCTCGACTACGTTCCCTGATCTCTTTAGGTTTTTCAAATACTTATTAGGACATGACAGGTAAAATTTCTGTTGACTTTTATCGTTAACTTCATTAATCTAAATGCTGAGTTATTTAACCATGTTGCAGTTAATCCGTAATAAGTTTGAAATCACCATAATTTGCTTTCAGGTGGATCAGCCAATTTACAGATAGCTAACTACGTTAGCTGGATAATGTTAGAGATAACTTCTCACCAAATTCAGAGCTGCAATGGGCACAGAACAAATGCAGTTTGAATGGAACAATTTTATACTTTTAAATCTTGAACTCTGAGTCCTCGATAGGTTTACAGGCTACGTTCCGGATCTCTCCTTAACCTAGAACTGCCCTTGCACTGATGTGCCGATGCAGGGGCTGTGCTGGGTCCACATTTGCTATGACACTCAACACCTCTTAACTGGAGTCAAGGCAGAATTTCAGCTGGTACCCACAGCTCTTCTCCTGGTAGGAGATGTGGTCATTGGTTTTGTGGCTGCAGGTTCCCTAGTTGGCTCACACCAGATCACCACAAGGGTCATCAATCAAAGTTGCAATTTGGAGCTTCTCACATTTCTCTTAGTCTGAGCTCTCTAAAACCCCAGAAGAAATATATTACTGTTCCATTAGGCTTCTGGCAGCGGCGAGGCCTCACAGGCACACCTGGAATGCGGCCTTTAACATGCCTCAACAGGACACCAAATCCACACAGTCAGCACTTTCAAACCCTTTGAGCTCTGACCATTCTGGATACGAAAGCAGCCCACAAACCAAACCATATTCAAGTTCTTGGATCGTTTGGCGGAAAGGCATGTTCCGTATTGCCATGTTGGCCAGAATTCATGGGACGCTTATTAGTATCTTGTCAAAGATGCCGTTGATGACCCAACATGAAAAACCGCTGGCGGGGGGGTGAACGTTGAGAGACTGCTGCCGCCCCGGCGTCGACCCAGCCCGGCTTCGCCTGCCAGATCTCTCCGATTCCTCTGAAGCCTGTAATTCATTTTTCCTTTGGGCTCTGAGGAGCTGAACATCACGAGGAAAGTGGAGTCTGGCTCTTGAGTAAAAGTTTCCAAATCTGAGAAAGTCCATGTGTTTCGGAGTCCCATGGCCAGCCGTTAAAGGGGGTCTTCACGACGGCTAACGTTCTCGCACTGATGATCTTCATTTTGCTCTGCAGATCTCTCCTCGGTGGGCCAGGGTGCTGCCACCTTCAGGCTCCCTCCCCTGCTACAGCCTCGTCTTGCTGACACCTTCCTCCTTCCTCAGCCGGGTTTTCCTCCTGCTCTCCATCTGCCTGACGCTGCGCCTCTTCGCCCCGTGAACTCTGCAGCCACAGGGAACCTCCTGATTTATCACTTCCTCCTTGTAAATGCTTAACATAAACATTCCTCTCTGTTTTTTGCCATTCTAGCCATCGACTGTTTTTTAGCCAGCGTGTCTGTTTTTAATCCTTCACCTTTCATCTCCCTCTAATGCTCATTTATTAGAAAGTGCTACAATGATGGTAAAGCCGCAGAAGGGTCTTCGCCCCAAAGACTTTACTAGAATAAAGAAAAAATCATGCTCTCAAGAACCACATTCATATGTTAATATTGAGGTTAAAATCTGTAAAGAGACACTTACAAAAGGTAAATTCATTATTTTGATGTATCTCTTGCCCATAACTTCACAATGAAGACAGTGATTAAAGTGACACTTTAATGTCCCACAAACATAGTGAGCTGATGGAGCCACAGAATGTGGGGACACTCTTCTGTGTGTTTGACTTTGCTCCCAAAATCCATGATGCTCACAAACCTTGCACCATTTTTGAGGTGATGCTTCAGCTACGTGCCTGAAAACCTCTGGGTGGCCTTAGATTATACAGTCAGCGCTAACTGGATTGAGGCTTTCCTCCAAGAAGCCACTCCCACTAATTACCACAGGGATTTGTGCATCTTCATTGGCCTAGATGGTCCACAGCTACTCCAATCTATGCAGAGCAAGGGGGTTCCACACATTCAATGAGCTTTCCCGGCGAAAGGGAAAACGTGCGCCTTTTAAAGGTGGCTGCACTCTCAGTTTCAGAGATCATAAATATGCTCATCCACCCAGTTTCCTTATCCAGGAGCCCCTAAGCTGACAATGACCAAAATGTCAGCATGAGGCGGTCACAGCAATGGGGAGGGGTGCCAACACAGCTGGAAACTGTCATGTCGCCAGTGTGTTTTTATGAGCTACGTTTCTGTTGACCTCTGCCAGCTCCCTCTCACATGTCTGTCGTCACCCCAGCTTATATCACTGAAAGTGATCTGGAGCCTGATCAAGAGTTTAATGCTCTGCTTCATCACTTTTTTGAAGCCTGGTTCAGGAAAGAGAAGCTTATTCTTGCTGCAGATCCAAGAATACCCAGTTACCGGCCATGTAACTAATCACCAGTTTCATTAACCGAAGGGGCTGCATGAACAATCCCACAAGCATGTGGTGTTTGCTCACATTCATCTCTGCCCACACTGTCCAGATACCCATTGCTGGTGTTTAAAATCTCCTACTGGAGCCCTGCTGATGTTCAGAAGTCCTGGATGGTCAGGCTTGAGGAGTTCAAGGCTGTCATATAGTCCATATAGTTCTGATGTTCTACGTAACCTTCTTAGTCACATCTGAATTATCTACACCCAAGGCTAGAGAAACTCTTCACCTCTTTCTCTTTTCTCAACCTCCCCGTCTCCTTAACTTATGGCCCCTCCTTTTCTCTTTCTCCCTTCCTGAATAAACGCCAACTTTAGGTATGACTCTTTCCAGAAAAATGTGCCTTTTTGACAGTGAACCAAAGTCTATGATTTTAAGCAGAGAAAGCCCCCCCCCCCAAACACCACTGGAGGCTTACAACTGCTGTAGTCACTGCTTCAAACTGTCATTTCTTCTTTCTTTTTTTTTTCCAGAAAGACAAAGTACAGATGTTGGAGTCCCAGAGCTGCAGCTCTTCACGGCCTGCCCTCCGCTTCGCTACAGAAAGTCAAGTTTAGCTGCAGTGAAGTTTAGCTGCAGTGGAGCGAAATGGTCAAGGTGAGGAACCGGGAGACGCCAGTGGAGGTAACGACCCGGTGAGACACACGGGAAGCTGGCAGTCTTTCTGAGCAGCCGGGGGCGGTGATAACGGGAGAGGTGTGGCAGCACGCAAGGACACGGGTGTTGCACGCTCATTCCCGTCTCCGAGCAGATCTCCAGCCACACCGCGGAAACAGCCGTGGGATGCACAAGCCGCAATTAATTAGTCGGGCCGCTACAGGACAAAGAAATCTCTGTCTTTTTTGTCCCCAAATGTCTGATCTGTAAGGCACTCAGAAAAGGAAAAAACAGCTAAACAGAAAAGGCTCGTAAAGTTAATGGGTTTTCCATGCAAGCAGAGTCCGAAGGGCACGGAGGGGAAAAGCCTGCAGCATTTTACAGTCAGGGTTGAGTCGCGTCCTGTGTGGGTCTGGAAGTGACCGCTGTTGACCCTCTCCATCCCATCTGCCCTAAAACACAGGGGTAGGGTGGCTCTCTAATGTCCCAGGCTGGGACTAAGCCCCACCTCAGCACCACCTTAACTTCATCCTGGCCTCCCATATTAGCCTGCCCCACCTCCCCCTACCCAGCCCCCTCCTCACCCATATCCCAAGATGCACTGGAACAATACGTGTCAGAATCTGCCTCAGAATCCATCTCCTCGCCTCTCACTGCACACCTGTGAGGCATTGGGACGCACCTGTGCACCTGCACCCCCACCTGCGCAAATCTGTATGGGGGGGGCGTCCCGCTAACTGCCTTAGCGACCTGCTCATCCTGTCACTACACCACGCGGCTTCCAGCGAACACGGCAGGGACACGGTTACGTTGTACACTCAGCATACGGCTGTTAACATGCTGCTTTAATTAAACATGCACATGCAAAAAGCCCAGTAGCTCACATATCAATAGCTGACACATCAGTCCTAGGCAACAGTGACAGAAGCAAAAGCGATACCTTCAAAGTGTTCCAATGCTCCTTCTGAGTATAGAAATTAAGACCTTTTGAGACTAGATCTGAGTGGTTTCTGACTCTTCTCACTCGCTGACTCTTGATTCCCGCTTTTGCACACCACCCCTCTTCCTGGCCGTTTCAGATGCCCTCCCAGCATCCCCCTCTCCCCCGTCGTGTCATGTGGGTTCCCCGAGGAGGAGGTGCGTACCTGGTGTCCTTGGTTAAAGCTGAGCGAGCACGTGTGTGTGTTTGTATGTGAGGGTCCTCTCCCAAATCCAGAGGGGGGATCGATCTCAGTGACGGCTCTGAAGCTGAGCTCTGAAAGGCCGGGGCGTAATTGCACCACAGTAGTGCACAGCCAAGACAAAGCAGGTGTGTGCTGTCACAGGAGAGTGGGAGGAGAGAGAGAGAGAGAGAAGGAGCAAGAGAGAGAGAGAGAGCAAGAAGGAGAGAGAGGGAGGGTCCAACTAAATGCTTTCTTCCCGGGATGAGACAATTGGTGGAAAACTCCCCTTTGGAAACCGAAAAAGGAAAAAAAAGGAAAGGGAAAAAGAGAGAGAGCAGGAGAAAGAGAGAGCAGGAGAAAGAAAGCAGCCTCAGTCAATGAACTCACACACACACTGCGTCATCTGGTATAGATCGGTGTGCCCCCCAAAAGCTATGCCACCCCTCTCTTCCCTGGGGTGGGGGGGGCATTGAATGTCTGTCTGTATCCTATCCTCTTTAAAGTGGGGCTCGGAGCTGACCCCTCCCCCCCCCTTGGAGCTGGTTTGCTTACACAAAGATGCCTTCAGGGGGTTTTGAGGGAAGTTTCATTGACCCACGCTGACCACCTAAAACATAGTTATGTTTCGGTGCAGAACTTCCCTCTATGCATGGTCATGGTCACCTCTGTTTGTGGCAGCGAGGTTAAAAATTTAAAATGAAGAATGGAGTTAAGTTTCATGTGAAACACAAGCTCTCCTCCCTATGTGGCTTTTTAATAACAATGGATGGGATTTACGTGGCATCAAAGGACCTTTAAAAGTCTCCCCAGACCAGTAGACAGGAGATGTTTATCTCTGAGCTGATCCAACAGGACGACACCATTGATTTTTATGTGTGTGTGAAAGAGCATTCGTCCACACCAGAGATGATCCCTCATAATCCAAACCTACAGATGGTTCTTGTAGCCTGGGACATAGGACACCTTACTTAATCTGGCATTGTCATTAAACAGGGGACAGAAGCCAAGACCACTTTTTGGATGGGTGCCAGATGACATCATGTTCAGCAGCTGCTCTCCTTAGGTATTCCCTGGGCTGTTATGTCACCTGGCCTGTGTGCTGCTGTCCAGATGCACAGGTTAACTAAGGTTGCAAACACAAGCAACAGGGGACAACCTAGACATCCTACTGCCAGCGGGCAGGAGAGGTACTGTCCCCCTTAAATGCGTATGCCCAATGCCCAATGCCCAACCATGCTTCCATAATGAAGTCACTACGCCACCGTCTTTCTCAGGGTCTTACTTATTTATAGCACCCTAAAATTCTCAGTGGCGGCATCAAAAACCTAGGAATAAGTCAGTCTCCTATAAAATAATGATTTTAGACAGGATGCTTGGTGACTGATGGCCAGGAAGTAGAGATTTTCCAGCCTGTGTATTTCATGATGTCCTGAGGCACCCATAGTGAAGCCTCTTTTACCTCATGTGTTTCTTAGATCTAGTACTGCCTCTGAGACCCTTAAAGATGGGAGCCAAAGCCATAACTTTTGTCCCGCTGTCATAGTGGTCTTATTTTTCAGGATGAAATGGAGTATAAAACAGGAGAAACTCAGTAAAACTGGCTGCACAATCAGAGCATCTGTACTCCAATGTAGATGAATGAAAGTCACCCTCAGTGGATCCTGTGTGTGTGAGAACAGAGATCACAGTAGGTTACCCTGGCCCTCATGGTAAGGCAGAGGTTACCACACTGGGAAGAGATCTCAGTGAAGATCAATTAGATCCTCAAAGTAAGGTAGAGGTTACCACACTGGGAACGAATCTCAACAAAGATCACTTAGATCCTTCCAGTAAGACTGAGGTTACCACCCTCAGGATGAACCTCACAGAAGATCACTTAGATCCTCACAGTAAGGCAGAGGTTACCACCCTCAGGATGAACCTCACAGANTAGATCCTCACAGTAAGGCAGAGGTTACCACCCTCAGGATGAACCTCACAGATGATCACCTCGATCCTCACAGTAAGGCAAAGGTGACTGCCCTCAGGATGAACCTCACAGAAGATCACCAAGATTCTCACAGTAAGGCAGAGGTGACTGCCCCCAGGATGAACCTCACAGAAGATCACTTAGATCTTCACAGTAAGGCAGAGGTTACCACCCTCAGGATGAACCTCACAGAAGATCACCTAGATCTTCACAGTAAGGCAGAGGTAACTGCCCTCAGGATGAATCTCACAGAAGATCACTTAGATCCTCACAGTAATGCAGAGGTTACCACCCTCAGGATGAACCTCACAGAAGATCGCCTAGATCCTCACAGTAAGGCAGAGGTTACCACCCTGAAGATGAAC